GGGTGGTCTTTGTGGTTCCTCAAGATAGGGTCCACTGTTGCTCATTGCCTTTGCTGATAAGTGTGTAACAGCTGGACATTTGAGTCCATAAGCGCTGAACAGAGACGTTCTCTGCCCCGAGCTTCGGGGCTGTTGTGAACTTTGCACCTCTGTGCTGCTGTGTCTTCATCAACACCCGAGTCCAGCTTCTCGGTGGAAGTCCTTTCGTGGTGTGTTAGTCTGCCTAGAAATCTGATTGCTTCAGGAGTTTAGATACAAGAGTCTGGCTCTGTGAAAATGCCATCTGCTCATCTTTCCTCCACCTCTCCACCTCTGCTCCCACGAATTCTTCCAAGCTCATAAGCGGACTACCAATTGGACAAAAGAAGCAAAGTTGGAAAAGTCTGTTATGTCTGCCCGAATCGCCTGCTCAGCAGTGTTTGCCTTGTTGAAAAGTTGCTAAGAACAATGAGCGTGACATCCAGTGTAGCCACCCTACTGGAAGTAACACACTTGGGTCCTTGATCGATCTGTTAAAGGATGGGGCTCAGACGACTTTCGTGTTATCAATTGTCATGCAGATATGGGTATTGTAGCATTGTGATGGTGAGGGGAGAGGTGGGAAGGATTATAAAGGCCAAGGTCTCTTAGATTGAGTCTGGTTTCATTCCGTCTCTGTGGCTGGCCTTACAGGCATCTGTGTAGAGCAGTTACAGAGGGACCCTTGATCCACTATAGAGTTGGTGATGCAGGATTTTGCATGGGAAAGCCATGAGCTTCAGGGTAAATCAGAAGAAATCAGTGCCATAATTAATGCTCTGTTTTATTGGGTATACAACCGAAAAACAATAAACCCAGTGCCATTGAGTCAGTCTCAACTCCTAATGACCCCACAGGATAGAGGGAGAACTGCCCCCATAGGGTTCCTAAGGTTGTAAATCACAGAAGCAGAATTGCCACACCTTTGTTCTGCAGAGCAGCAGGTGAGTTTGAACTGCCAACCTTTGGTTGTTAACTGCTGGTTGTCTTAACCATTGCACCACCAGGGATCCTGTGGTACAATCATGGTTGAGTCTTTTCTGACTCATTGTGACTGTACACAGTTGACCTGCTCCATATGGTTTCTGGGAGTCAATCTTTTCGTGACCACTCAGCCTCATCTTTCTCCTGAGGAGCAGCTGGTAGGTTTGAACCTCTGACTTTGCAGTTAACATTTCAACACTTCACCCACTATTTCTCCAAAGATGCCTTCTTATTACCTAACCCTGTGACTCTCCAAATCCATTGAATCTTCCTGTGTAGAAAGTACAGTAAAAATGAGGATGAAAACTGAGCTGCTCTGGCTTAAGTCAGGGTGGAAGAACCTGGTAAAATTCAGTAATATTTCATTTGTTGTGCTAGTGTGGCTCCGTGGGAAATAACAGGTTGATTAAAATTCTTGGTCTAGTTATTTAGACACAATGCTTTGCACAGAAAAATATTTTAGCCTTTGTAGCTCCTGTTGTTTACTTCCTGACATATTTTAGAAGACAATGACTTTTTCCTGCTTTAAACTATTCGAGTAATTTTCCATTTATTTGTTTGTCTTTTTGTCTCTTCTGTGGCTCCAGATAATGTCATGGGCACTTTTCATTGGCCAGAGGTGTTCGTGGTTTGCTTATGTTTCTGTCCTGGAAACATGGATATGAACAACCTATCACAGAAATTAATTCCTGCCTTTTATGGAAACTAAAGAATGAACTCCTGGATTACAAAAGATTGTTAAACATCTAGAATCGGGGGAGGAATTGACAAGTTGATCAAATGTTGAGTTATGTTGGCGGGGGAGGGCAGGGATGTGCAGTCCTTTCTAGGTGCGGGTGTGGTATGAGCAAGGATAGAAACCATGTGAATGGTGCTTCCAAAGCTGGTCACCCCAGGGCTGTGGGTGTGAGCAGTGGCCTTTATCTGGGAAAGAGCAAGGCATCTTCATGGGCTTCTGAAGAACTACCCCCCCCCCCACAATTCACTGAGAACCCTGACGTTTGTTCTTCATATCCAAACACCAGAGGAGCCCTTGGGGGGGGTCATGTAGGGTTACGCCTTGGACTGCAAACCACGGGGCCAGAAGTTTGAAACCACCAGCCATTCTGTGAGCGAAAGATAAGGCTTTCCACTCCCACAAAGTATTCCTGTCTTGGAAACCTACAGGGGACCTTCGGCCCTGACCTACAGGGTCAGTGTGAGTTGGCATCAACTCAGTAGGAATGGGTTTGGTTTGGTTTTTGGATGACATGACATTTGGTATCCAATCACCAAGCCCACTACCATGGAGTGAATTCCAACCCATAGTCACCCTGAAGACAGAGTAGAACTGCTCCATGGAGTTTCCAAGACTAGTTCTGGGTGAGAGTAGAAAGTCTCCGTTTCTCTTGTGGAGAACAGCCAGTTCTCAGCCTCATCAGGGCTCCTTGCTCTTACCGTAATCCCAAACCCACTGCCATTGAGTCTGTTCTGAGCCATGGCAACCCTCTAAGGCGTATTCAAAAGGCAAACTTCTGATTATCATTTCTGCACAGCATTTCAACTTTTTCATTATTGGTTGCGTGTGTGTGTGTGTGTGTGTGTGTGTGTGTGTGGTAGTGGTGGTGAGCAGGGCTCCTAAAGACGTGTATCACTTGACCGCCAGCTCTGCTGAGCTTACACATTGTCCTTGTTGATACGTTTGCCAGGGAGAAATGCCTGCTGCCTCTCCAATTGGCCTTGGAATCCAAGAATGTGAAGCTGGCCCAGCACGCTCTGGCAGGGATGCAGGTAAGCTCTTTCGGAGTGCAGTAGGTGCGCTCATAAAATGGAGGACGCAGAGCAGAGAGTTAACATTTTACATACTAACTGCTTTTAGACCCAGACCAATATTGAACTGTGAAATGACTGTAGAGGCTAAGATTTTTAGGCTCACCAGAATTTCTCTGTACATAGCATGAGCTTGTTGAGCTGCTGTAATCAAGTCCTGCTTCTGGAAGACCCAGCGAACCCCACACACAAAGTATTTTTAGTGGCATTCCTGTTTTAAGAGTAAGGTACCCTGAGTTTGTACTGATTCAAATCTCACATACATTCAGCATCTACGATTCTGTATGACGGGATGGGTGATAAGCTAGACAATTTTTGCTGTGCATTTTAGTTTATGCTTAGATTGAAGAAAGAGGGGACATTTGGGCTGATAAGAAGGTCAGCTTGCATGAACTACTTCCCTTCTCTGAGCCTTGGCTCAGCGGTGTTCCATGTCAGACACGTCATAAGTCTGATTTCAACAGTAGAAAGACTGTGGCTAGATGAATGCATCAACTTTGCCAGTGGTTTGGTTTCTGAAAGACAAGCTCTGTGGAATCCTGGCAGAGTAGTGGTTATGCATTGGGCTGTGATCTGCATGGTCAGCAGTTCAAAACCACCAGCAGCAACATGAGAGACTGGGCTTTCTACTCTCATAAACTGTTGAAACCCACAGGGGTTTGATAAGGGTCCACATGGACTCGAGGGCAGTGAGTTTGAGATTTTACTCAGTGGATTGGTAACATTTGTCCCAAACCTTTCATGTCAGTCGGTGCTGTTTCATAGTCAGCTCTGTAAGGTCAGAAGGGTCCCTTTGTACCTTTAAAGAGTTAAAACAGATTAGAAAGTCAGACAATAATGACTCTTCTCCCTAATAGATTAGAATTAGATGTATATTTTAATCTGAATCTACAGCAACATTAGACATTTTCCCCAAATTGTACGTGATGGGATTAATAGCTCCCCCTCCCTCCCACCCAAAGTGACCATAAAAAAGAATGGGATATTTTTAATATGATGAAACCACTGAATTGTATTATATGTGCATAAAACTGTTAAAGAAATGATAGAGATTTGGTAGAAAAAAATGAATGGGAATTTGTTCTGATTGGCCATTTATTTTTTGGTTTTCCTCTAATATTGTGTAGATTTTCCATTTCGGTTTTTTTTTTCAACTCTCTGGGACATTGTCCCAGTGGCATGTTTTCCGAGGCTCGTGTAGTTTCATGTACTTCATGACGTGTGGGCTGTGGCTTCAGCCACCCTCTGTTGCCTCTGGTAACATAGGCACTTTCTTGGGGCTTCTCTGTCTTCATCACTGTGTATAAAAACCAAGATTTGTGTGTAAACTATATAATAGTGAAAAAATCTCTTTAGAATGAATATAGTCAACCTATTAGGGAACCTTAAGTAAAGAGGTTTCAAATAGCTGTTTTCCACCCCGGCAGTGGCATTAAGCTAAAAGATAGGATCGCCTGGGATAAATCGGAATTCAGAAGCTCTGTACAGGGTGAACCTCCAGACTGAGTCAGATGAGAACAAATTTAACAGGGATAAATATAAAGTCCTCTCCTGGGGTCTCAGAAGTCAACTGCATCAGGACAGAGTCAGAGAAAGCAGTTTAATTATAGCCCTTATGAATGAGAATTAGGGACCTCAGGATGAGTCAGCCTCAATGACTGCCAAGCAAGCTGGCTGGATCCGAGAACCTGCCTAAGTTAGGCTTCAGTCAGTAGTGTCAGACTACCCTTGAAGCATTACACTCACCTTGGGGGCACATTTGAGGCCTGGTGGTTAAGTGGGTTAGTTGTTAAGCTGATAACCAAAAGGTCAGCCGTTCAAAACCACCAGCTGCTCTGTGGGAGAAAGATGAGGCTTTCTACTCCTGTGAAGAGTTACAGTCTCAGAAACCCACAGGGTTGGTTTGACCCTGTTTGATAGGGTCAGTGAGGTAGAATCGATTCGATGGAAGTGAGTTCTTGTTTGTTGTTTGAATTGGGGGCACATTAAAACAGGAGAGTACGGATGAAAGTGTGTGTCGCGCGGAAAGCATTTGGAGGAGCTCAGGGGGGTCAGTGTAAAAACTCAGAGCTTTGGGTGGACTTGAGAGCTGGCTGATCTGACTTTGAGCATATGCAGCGTGACCCCCGGGAAAGACGAGAGGTAAGGTGTAGGTGAGAGACTTCTGGTCCAATCTGAGTGAGCGAGGATTTTATTAAAATAAGAGTTGCCCCCCCAGTACAAGCAGAATAGCCTCTGAGGAATTGGGACCCCTGAGAGCTCGCATACAAGTGAATGTCTTGTTTGGGTTGTTGTGGAGTTTCTTTTCTGAGCGGGAGGGTTGATTAAGATTTGTGAATGACAGCTTACACTTGGGACAACTCAGGCTGAAAACTGAGCTGGTTGCATACGAGTCCTTCTCCCCTTTTGTGACAAGGCCACCCTCAGGAAGGGCGTATGTATGACGGGGCTTCAAAACGTTTTTCGGCAAACTGAATGAAAAGATCATGACAAATTTCCAGGAACCTTTTGAAGCCTGCCCCGATGGGTGTGGGCAACAGCTGCGAGGGGCCCAATTCCTCTAGGCCTGCGGGTCTCAACCTGTGGGGCGTGACCCCCTTGGGGGGGGGTGTCAAACGACCCTTTCACAGGGGTCACCTGATTCTTTACAGTAGTAAAATGACAGTGATGAAGTAGCAACAAAAATAATGTTATGGTTGGGGGG